TGAGTTGGTTTGAGGGATGGGTAAAAATATGTTGAAAAAATTAATGTGATCGTGTTTTGGTAGGGGATTTGAGGAAGTGGGGTGGGTGAGGGATAATATAAGGGTATGGATTAGAGGTTTGTTGGATTGGTGAGTGAGGTTGCGAAGTGTTGTGAGGTTGATTATAGGAGTTAATTTGAAGTATAGTGTTAAAGTTTTATCCCTTATCAACTTGAATGTGGTCCGACAGCGATTCACGTACACGTACTTCATCCAGGTTCCAGGGTAGAGAGTTTCCGATCCATCCTAGGGGAGGATCACCAATACCAAAGGTCTGAACTTTAAAGATCCGAATGTTATGGTCTAACCGGTCTAACGAGTTTGAGAAGTCAAGCAACATTACATCAACTCCTGTGCCAGAGTGTACTGCTTCAGTCCAGCTGGACCGTGCTACTAGTCGATTTGTAGTGCACGAGCAATTTCCTCGGAAGCCATGCTGTTCCAGTGCGAGGTAGTTACGTTCTTCCATGTAGGCGGTTAGCGCATCAGAAATAACAGCTTCCATGATTTTTGAAGAACCGGTAGTCAGATCTTGGGATGGCAGTTGGCTGGACTGGAACGACTACCTAGCTTGTGAATAGGAGTAATCATCCCGTGTTTCCACATATCGGGCACGTACATTTCTTCAAATCAATGTTAGTAGAGTCAAGCCAAAGGTTCAACTAAACTCTCTCCTACTGGCGCTAGCGATTTCGTGCGCAAAGTATCCATTCCAGGGGAGCTGTGCTTGTTCATACTCAACAGTTTTGTTAGTACAGCTTCTGCTGTGAAAGATATGTGAGTGAGTTTTGGGGGTAATCAATCATCTCCAAAGGGTTAGGTGGCCAGTTATCGCATTGAATTGCTGCAGCATATTGTAGGCGCAGGGTATTCGCGGCTTCCTTTGGGGTCCGTGTGGGTCCGTCTACTTTTTGACTGGAATAAATTCCCCGTTTCACCTTACATAGTCTGTTGAAGTGTTGATACAGAAGCTTGTAGCTTGAGGACCTACGCACTGTCAATTTCTGCTGGTACGCCATTCTATCCTTGTAAACATGCTGAATACAGTGGTTACGTTGGGTTGCATAGGCCATCCAGTTCTCGATGCTCTTAGGGAGTTTGTAGATATGCCAGGTTGTATTTTGCACCGCTATACACTTGCGTGTCCTGCTTTGCAGAAAAGAGTCCACGTTTCTCGGGCGAAGGTCTTACTCGCTGAGGTTTCGACAACCGGAGTGTTAAACTGCCTGACGAAACGTTCCCATGTACTAGCTGGTGATTCGTCAGCCAGTTTCGTCAGTCTAGTTGGCTGTCTCACCTAATCGAGCAAATATGTCGTAATGTACATACATCCTCGTTGCGTTGGCGATTTCCACGGGATATTCTGCGCAGCAAATGTATTCGAAGTGTGGTACTACATGATCGTTGCTTCCCATAGGACGTCGACGATCGGCCACTCGACCATTAGTTCTTCGTTGATGAATATCCGATCCAGTATCGAAGGCTT